CCCCCGGGAAGCCTGAAGTCAACTAAAGAATTAATGATAACTATCAAAACGCCTGCCATTTGATATTAATAATAGTAGACAAACTCAAATGAATAAATAAACATCATGAAGCCACCCTCATTGTGTTAATCTATTTATTCGATTTAAAAGTAAATATCGATTAAAGCAAGTAATTGATGCTTAGGTGAAAAGAATAAATGTTTCTCCTACCAATATTTCCAACATTTTGGGTTTTCAGATGCAAAAGTTATTTTCTTTTCGAGCGAAAAATATGTTAATTTATGAACAAGTGGATATAAATCTTGCCTCTTACAGCTTTCAGGCTTATATTTCGACCAAATTTGACAATAAAGATTTTAACACATATATAAAAACTCTAACTTTTCCTATCATTAGGTTGAAATAATTGAAATGAAATTTGTTGCAAGAAATCTTAAGAGAATATCTCGCGTTTATACAATTCCTTTCATTAAACGCTGGAAAAATAATTAAATCCAACGCTAATTAGCCACGCTGGGTGTAAAAGCCTTTGGCAAAAAGAGATTTTGAAAAGAATGAAACTACTACTACCTGAACAAACAATAAACTGGAATAAAATTACTCACATGCTGTTCCTGTTAAAAAGGAAGTGGAATTAATACTTAACCACACAAGAAGGAAATAATAAAAAACTTAATGCCTAATAAAATTTTAATTTGTTAACTTTTTGTCAACTGACCATCAGAATTACGATAAAACTTAATAAGTGAATTTATCGCCTATGAACTCACGTTGACTCCAGTAGGTGCAAAAAGTGTATCAATACGTGGTATTCATTTATTGACAAACTAATGTAGCATTCCTCAAGCGTATTCAAAAAATATCCCTTTACTTTTAAAACTGTACAGCGTTTATGATTTGTGGAAGAGATAGGGAAGTGGAGATATTGACTATACTGTAGTTATAAACCCAGAAGACTTATCTCCATTGGCAGAAATCAAAACAGCGCCATTATCTTCAACGGTCTCTATCTTTGAAGCTGTCGCCGTTGTTGAGGTAACTGTAGGTGTGTCAGCAAATTCCACGTGTTTCGTTTTGAGCGTGCTATGTCCTGAGTTTTTAAGAGGGGGAGGGAAGGGATGGTTCAACCTGATCGTTCTTGTACTTCGAACAACTGGACTAATTTGTGAATCCTTTCGGATCCCTTCTGACATGCTAGGTGTTCCAAGAGTGGTTACGACGTTTCCATGTCTTGGACATAGAACATAGTCCGGATTAGTCACAGGAGGGTCGTCAACTGAAATAACAGAAGATGAGGAAGCTGGAGGCATTATGACTTCCGGAACACTCAAAGCTGTCTCATAAGTGTTTAAACCAGTCTTATCAAGGGTATCGAACTGCGGACTGGAAGAATCAAACGAATTTTCCTTGGGTAAAAATGTTGTAGAGGATTTGGAAAGACCATGAACGGGGCAGCCAGGAGATAATTCCATGGTACCATGTTCAGCCATTGAGTAGAGGGGATGACTGTCTTGAAATGAGAGAATATATGGGTGATGCTGTTGGCTAAAGGACATTTCTCGAGACGGAGAATATCGTGGGGGTTGAGCGCGCCGGTAATTCATAGTTTCGTCGACGGTGAAAGTCTGCACACCATTCAATGGAGAAAGCTCTGTAAATGTGGTTTTCGGGTGGGTTGAGTTATTCAAAGCCTTGGCTACATTTTTGGTGGTCTTTCGACACAAACAGTAAAGAATAACACCAATTATAATGAAAATGAGGACCAAAACAATTGATGCAATACTAGAATACTTTAGAATTGCATTGGAATTGAACTGATCAAGCCAACCGGGTTCCCTTGGACCTCCAGTCCCCCACTTTAAATCTGTGAGAGTTAGCGTTACGGTCATGTTCGCTTTTCCGAAGTCATTTTTCAATAAGCAGACGTAGGTTCCAGCATTGGACTCTTGAATTTCAGGCATGAACAATTCCACTGCAACGTGTCCATGGAATAATTGGCGCACTCTAACCCGAGAAGTAGATATAATTGGATGCCCATTGTGGTACCACAAAACCTCATCAACTGAAGAGGCTTCAAACTCACAAATCAAGGTGATATTTTCGCCTAATTTTCCTAAAACCACTGTTGAAGATTTTTTAGATTTAGGTGGACAGGCCATATCGAAAGGGGAAACAGGATTGGTTTGTACATTTGAGATGGGGAATAGTGCATATCCTGCCAATCTTGGAGGAGATGCACACTTGGGAAAGGCAGTATTCTCAAGTGATCCTGGTTCCATTTGCAGGAGAGGATCAATCACAAACCCTGTTGGATCAACGGCTCTCGGGTCGATGAAATATTGAGTAGTGTTGTGGCGATCGACCCAGTCTCGCAACCATCGTAGTGAGCAGTCGCATTTCCATGGATTTCCAAATAGAAATAGTTGTTTCAACTGCATGGTTGTAAATAAACCATTGAACGAGCTATGGAGAGTTTCGAGGTTATTATATGAAAGATCTAGTAACTCGAGCTTGAATAATCCTTCCAAGGCTTCAGTAGAAATATGAAATTCGGGACTGGCTCCAGCTAAAACCAGGGATTTGAGCTTACCCCTTATGGGGTAAAAGAAATGTGCTGGCACTCTGCCAATTGGGTTACGTTTCAGATTAAGAACTTCCAGAGTGTTAATAGGAGTGAGGGCATTTGGATGAAATGATTCCACTGAAAGTGTGAGTTGATTAAACCGTAGACTGAGTTCTCGGAGATTAGGAACTGGTAGAAAAGCATCCCGCTTAATGACTGAAAGCATATTGGAATCCAGGTTGAGGTATGTAAGATTTGGCAAGTGATCCAGCTGACTTCGATCAAGGACTGCAATTTCCTGATGATTTATAGTTAGTCGAACGACTTCTTTAGGAAGAGTTGGAGGAATTCGAGTGAAATGTGTATCGAGCCTCTCACAGATACTAGCTTTCTCATTGTAATCATCTCCATTAACAAATGTGATACATCCGGTTACACTGTGGACTCGATTAACACAAACGGAAAGCATGAGCAATAAGAAACGAAACGCTATCCGGGTGAGCATTCCAAGGTAGTTTCAGCACCAAGAAGGCATAATGAAAAGGATCAAAATACTTATCCTACGCGGAGCTAGTTGCCCGAATAAAGGATGACACCTACTTCGTCCAATGGGGCTGAAGACAACCAATTGCTTTGGCCATTCGTGAACACGTGCTTTTGATTGGCATAACCTTTCGGCCAATAATATTATTTGATACTAAGTTACCTGGCCAATCAAAGTTCAGGAATGTAGATTTTACTAATATCGTGAGCATTATCACTTAAGAATGCACTTTAGTTCGTTTTACATCTTTAAATTTTTTACACCGCACGATCCAATAACCCATTTTCTTTTGAAAACAATAACTTTTATCGATATCTCGTACAACAAACATTTGTTAGAAGTCGTAAAGTGTAAATAAAACAAATCACCAATGCTATGAGATTTTAAAAATAATGTTTGGTGACAACTTTCTAAAATGTGGAAAATCCGTAAACAACTCCTTCAAATATTATCACTAACAGCACTGTAATTTAATCATTCTTCGAAAAATAATGACACTAATGCACGAGTACTATATTTGACCTTTAAGTAGACAAAATATAGATTAAAAAACGTTAAAAAGCAATACGTATGTCAAGAGAGAACATGTATGTAATAAATCAGCCAAAAAGTACGTGCATTATTTTGAAGGAACAATTTTGCTTTCTGCTGGAAATCCCTGTTTTCCCTTCTAGATTAAGTTAGCAATTATGCAAACTACGTGACAGACGAAAATGGTATCATCGAAAATGAATTTTGCTCCCTTACAGATTATCTCTCTTAATCCTTCTTGTTGGAACATTAAAAATTAACTTTTTTCAAAAATGAGTAAAAATTATGATTAGTCTAAGGCATGCTAAAGCTTTCAACATCTATTTAATGCATCACTATAAAAGTGGGTTAGTTTCAAGTTTATTTAAACACTTCTTTCACAATTTTTATTCTTTTAATGTCGCCTTGAGTCATGCTTTTCGCGGGTAAAACTAAGCTTCAAAAAGTACAAGTAAAGCTCGCAGGCATTCTTACTTTACTTAGCCAACCTATCCATCTTATTTTCGCTCTCATTTTATCAAATTAAAAATCATTTAATGGACAGGGGAGGGGAGAGGGTGAGTGATAGCCGAAATAAGTGCTTTCCGAAACACGGTGGTCGCCTGAACGCAAATTATGGCTTTAGAAATTTATCAGCTGTTACTTACCTACCGAAATATCGATTTTTTGTTAGTGTGGTTTAGAGGAAACATCTGGTTGTTTTATCGAGTAAGTGCGAAGCTTTGCAAAATTTCATGGCGGTTTAATTGACTTTTAATAAAATAAATAGGTAACGATGAAAGAATTTAATTTCTGTGTAAGAAGAGTTTTGTTGTTATTATTGCACTGACTGTCTCAAAACGAAGTCATTAGTTATCACAAAAGTATTACTTGTGACTTCTTAGGTGTAAAAATATATACCCCATGTTTCGTATGTTGTAGAATGCATTATTTATAAGTACATACATGTTTTGGCTTAAACCGGTGGGAAATTTCACTTTTTCGCTTGCAAAATGATTATTCTTTACGAAAAAACCTTGAAATATTAGAAAAAATCTATATAGGATGGAAAATTAACTTAAACAACCTTATATGTAAGAACCACCATTTATATTTTTTTGAAACTAGGAGGTACAAAATAAGTCCTTTGTAAATATCCCTGAGTGATAATGTGGTGTCACCACTGAGCATCGTCATTTTTTACTAAGTTAGAGCAATTTTCATCTCATTGGTGGTCGCCTGTATTGACTACCTTTCTAGCCATTGATCAGAATTTCGTTCATCACATCATGAGATTATGTCCTAGCAGAACAACATAAACGTAGCTCTGGTAAGGGCCTTAAGTAGATTAGTCCCTTATTAGCCCGAAAGACACAAAGGCTTAGATACATGCAGTTCGTGAAACACTAGCTGTTTATGCAAAATTGACCATAGTAACCACGGATTCTTTGACACTTCATCCATGAGGCTACTCATAAAAGGCGAAAATGGATTAACCGATTTCATAATACGACCATTCCGCTTATCTAATGGAACCATAAGTGAAGGCCGTTGTGATTTATTACAGCAGGTCATTTAAAAGCCACGTTTACTCTTACCAACCTGGAGGGGTATGGGCCATTTACAGCCCCTTGGAGTAATAAAATATATGCCTTCAGATATATCCAGACAAAATGTGTCCCGCTCTAGCTTTATTCAGTCATCCATTCATTTGTAACTTGAATTAATACGTATAGCAAGATCTTATCTGATTACAACTTATTCTATATGGGTCTTGGTGCGTAGCTCTCAGTACATTGACTTCCATTATTATAAGCTGCTATTGATGGTAATTCTAACAAAGTAAATAGATGCTCGCATGATCACGTGATCACGTGATGCGTCTAAAATTACTGCTTGATAGCAATGCTTTATTTCATTTCATTTCGTTTAGAGTACATCTATGTTGGAGGAGATGGGATGTGAGATAGACGTAGTGCACCCTGGGCAACGTATACTCATACGACAAAAAGGTCTATTAACTGGCAGTTGATTTCTCACTTCAAGCTACTATGAAGCCACTGTGTCATATTCGACTGATTTCACAGTACTCATCTCACCTTTTTTCAACCTTTGTGTCGGTCTTTCTGTCTATAACATCTGTAAATCATTATTCTGTCTTCCCCGCTCGACTTTTTGTCGCTCTGATGTTCCTCGTTCCCTCTGTGAAACTCGAAGCCAACTAAAGGGCTAATGATAACCATCAAAATGCCTTCCATTTGATATAAATAAATAATTAAATATAGGAGGAGATTAAATTTGAGCTACCGAATTATTTGTTACATTGAGATAAATCACTCTTCCCCTAGACAAAGATATGTCGTCACTTGCTATCAGAACAGCTCAAGGTCTTGTTGAAGGCCGAAATGAGTATTTTGACAGCAATCCGATCCAGAGTAGAGGTGAAAATTTGATTCTGAAGCAAGGATACCTTACCTATACCCAGGTCAAGTGGTGTAGACCCTTCTCCTAATGGGTAAAGGAAAGCATTCCAGGGAACTGCATTTAAGAGCTTGGCTTCCATATACCATACAGTAATAACTGGCATTGCATTAAAATCGCTTTCTTTCTGCATGATTTTATTTCATCAATTCGCTATTCTTAGCGTGAATCAAGGAAATCAATTTAATTACACATTAAATGAATAATAAAATTTTATGGTTCATTAGAGATTTCATTTCAGTTCGGTTTCTCTCTGTGGAGACTTTTATCGTTTAAGATGGATTTAAGTATTTTAATGACTTATACGATTTTGGCGACATTTTCAATATATCATTATTTTTTCAAAATTCCCTACAAATTTATTTCTAGGGGTATTCGCTGATAATTTCTCAAAGTTTTATTGAAGGATTTATCAATCAATCATTGCTTTTTCATTTTATGACTGCATTAGTTGATTTGTTTTAATTACTATCGAAAGAAGATAATTCTATTGGCTATTCTAACACGTGGTACAGGAGTGTCATTATAATAATCAATTTTGTCACCATTTTCCTGCAATTACATTTGATTCATGCAATATGATATCCTTCTGATTATGAGATCCCACTCGCCTATTCTGGAGGGATTTAATTTGTCTCTGATTGTCGAAAACTAGTATAAGTTTGCAAGGGTTACATAGATTAGTCCCCGTGTTGCAAGTAACGGTCAAGTAAATCGCATGTTTTTGAGTGGAATGAAGGTACAAACTTTTGGTGTCTAAACCATGTCAAGCAACAATAAAGCCGCGTTAAATTATTTGTGAGCACCAATACTATTTAGGCTTCTTACAGTGTATACTATAAGTACCTTAGATCTGATTCTAAAGGAAGAATATTTATCGCCTAAACGATGATTTCTCTTAGGGTGCTAAGAAGATTCCATATATATATATATATATAATTATCGTCAAGAATTCTGCACAGGTACTGAAAATGTTCGATCTTGCCACCAATAAATACACATCTATATTCAACCACATATTCAATCTTCATTTCGTTCTGCCTCTGAAAGGACTCCATTTTTCAATAAAACTGACCACAACCTTTATTTATCTACTTCAATCTGCATGCGTTATGTCGTATGGTTGACAGAATTGTTAAAATTGTTCCTTTGAAACGGGAACTTTGTCCAAAATAACCATTTAACTTAAAATGAGCCGATTAGAGTGTGTTGTCGTAGCTCTGGATGAGCAATTCCCGAAACAAGACTCTCCCAGCCCACCCCCACCCCCCATAGTCGCTCACTCACCCCAGCCCCCCTTTATGCAGACACAAAGATGCAGACATTTTTTACTGCTAGAAGAAGAACAGTAGTCATCAATTTGGCTGAGAATTGATCTTGAATTATTCATGAAACAATAACTCCTCGCATTCACATATATGAATAAATATACAAAGTGTCTTAAAGTAAAAACACATCCTGAGTCAAATGTGGCAGAGAAGAACCTATTAGGTGGGGGGGGGGGAGGGTGGACAGGTGTCTTATTTCACATAATATTTATTTCCGTCAAATAAAATTACTGCACTGCCATTAGGTTTCCCCATGGATATGATTTCTCCTAATAGATATTCAGTAAAATACTTTTGCTTACATCGTCATATCAAAGACGGTAGGTGCAGTTTTTGACTGTTTTTTTTGAAGTCAATGGATTCTATACTTGCGTCACACTGTGATAAAACAAACTTCTGTCTTTTCATGAAAATAAAAGTAACAGCATTCAGATTTTGAATTTGATTTAGCTATATCGTCTCGATTGAAGGAATCACATCAAAGTCTCTTGTCACTATCTTTAACCCACCTTATTTATGATTATTCGTAGAAATTGTTTCAATTTCTGTACTTCAGCCCAACTTCAGTAGTGTCGCCTTTGCGGTAAATACTCCATTACATTCACT